GACACAGGATTGTAGCTTGACTACTGTGTTATAGGTATTGACTACTGTCTACCAGCATTTGACTACTACTTTAGGTTTCGAATACTGCTTCGATTCTTTAAAAAGGTTTTGAAATAATTTAAATCATCCTTATTGATATATTTTACAAAGGTTCCTGTTCACCGCTCTAACGTTAAACATGAGTTTCTCATACAATGACTATGAAGACAGCTTTACCAACTTGCATGTTTACCTCCACAACATTCAGCGTGCAAATCCCCACAGTTACACTTACATCAAAACCGATGTTATGGATCGGTTCGAACTATGTTTTGTTGCTATTCGATGTGTGGTAATGTAGTATCGATTTGTTTATTATTTTGCTAAACCAATTTAGATTAGTCTAAAAACTAATAATTATGTTATATAAAATTTGAAATAGATCAACGCATTTATAGGATGCATGCTTCCGGTCATCTTCATAAGCAGTGTCTGTATTAGAGGAGAGTATCTTAATACAATGTTCGTAGCAGTTGCTATTGATGCAAACAACAATACTACGCCAATAGCATTTGGTATCGGGGTGGCAAATAGTGTTAACTCCTGCACTTGGTTCCTTATGAGGTTGAAGGATGCTATCGGAGCGGGTACGGAAGTTGCTCTCATAACCAACATGGGCGATACCATTGCTTCTTGCATTGGTCAAGTATTCCCTGATGCTTATCATGGTTATTCGTCTAACAGTGTTTTGAATTATTGCCGATTAAGAATTGGTCAAAGCAGAAATTTAGACTACTTGTTCTTCCGTGTATGCAAAGCATATACCACGCAAGACTTTAAACAAACATTTTCTAAGTTAAGTCATGGTGCACAGGAAGTTCTTCACAACATCGGACATATGAAATGGGCACGGGCCTATTTCCCCAATATACGTTGGAATGTACTAAACATTAATATTCCAGAATTCCTAATGGTGTTATCGGTTAGTCAACGCAATGTACCGATAATAATGCTAATTGATGCGATTGTGCAGTACATCCAAGAGACGTTTGCAGAACGCTGTGTCATGGGAGGTAATATAGGAACTTTTTATAAATCACTTAAATGCCGGTAATTTATTATCCTTTGATTTTTCAGGAATGTTGAGCACCGTATTCACACCTTAGGCAGAGATGGTCCTTCAAAGGAGGATGCAAAAGTCTCGGAAATGGAAAGCAACGAAAATCCCACCTGAGATCCCGTCTATGTTACCTTCGGATATTTTCCAAGTTTTTGATTTCAAACGTACATGTGTTGTGGATCTGAATCGACACACATGTTCTTATGGGAAATGGCGCAGTCTTGGTATAGCATGTGGTCATGCTCTTGCTGCAGCACGTTATACAAACGACACAGAATTAGCCGATATGGTTCAAATATATTATCGGGCTGATGTGTTTCGAACTACATACCAGACTAGGAATGTGAATGTTGTTCCCCCTCCATCTGAATGGGAAATACCAGAGCCATTTCCGATCGTTTTAATCCCTATGTAATAGGTTGTCAGATGTTCCTTTAATAAATATAATTTCCATTGTAGATAACGCTACCTTCTAATCCCTATGTAATACCAGAGGCATTGATGGTCGCTTTAATCCCTATATAAAATCAACTCCTTCATATTATTAGACTACAGTTTCATAGTCTTTGACTACTGTTTGGCACACTGCATAATGTGACCGAATTCTATTTGAAATGAAATCCCTTTATATAGCCTCGACCAAATTCATTGAAACATACCAATTCTCATAATGAGTGGATTTAATGAGATATACAAACAAAGCTTTTCCAACCTACCGATACTCTTTCATAATCTTCAAAGAACAAATCGTAACTCTTTCACAATCATTAAGAAAGACATGAGAGACAGGTTTCAATTTTGTTTTGTCGCATTAGGATGCGTGGTAACTCCTCATCTATACTAAGTTATTATTTATTTCAAGTTCACATTTGTGTAATGTTGCCATCGTTTCTTACAGATTACTACCTTTCTCACATCCATGATACCAACACTATTTGTTGCTCATGTACCCCTTATTGGGACCAACATAACAACAATGTATCTTGCTCTTGCTTTGGATGGTAATCATGAACCCCTAATCACAGCATTCGCTTTGGGAAGCGTTAACTATGACGAGGCTTGGACTTGGTTCATGAGAAGGTTGAAAAAATGCTTAGGTGACACTACTGAAGTTGGTTTCATAAGCCATATGTCTGACTCGATAGACTACGCCATTATGCAAGTATACCCAGATTCCTATCATGGGTATTGTTGTAAAAATATAGCCGATAAAGTTCGGGCTTCCACAGGAAGTATCGTTGTCGAACAGTTGTTCTGGAAGACATGCAAAACTTATAGCTTGTCTGGATTTTACGTTTGTTTAAACAATTTAAAAAATGAGGTTAATGGGTATGATCTTGACTGGCTTGACAATATCCCAATGGCAAAATGGGCTCGAGCCTTTTTTCCTAAAGTTCGTTTCAATGTTAAATACATTAGCATTCCGATTGGATTGAGTTGGCTTAGATCAAACACGCACGAGTTACCAATAACGACAATCATTGAAGTGGTCGATCAGTCAATACAAATGGTGTACGCGCAACGAGCTGAATTTGGAGGTAATAAATAATTGTTTTCTTTCTTTTCCGTTACTCTATCCTCTTTTTAATTTTAAGTAAATTAATTACACAGGTGGAATGCATGGTCAACTTACCCCTTATGCACAACACGTGTTTGAACGGAGAATGAACCAATCTAATGGTTATGAGGTTACACATATTGGTAGTGACAAATTTGAAGTGTGTTGTAATTTAACCGTACAAACGGTACAAGTTGAACGTGGTATTTGTACTTGTGACAAATGGCAAAAATGCGGCATACCTTGTGAACATGGTATAGCATCATTAAGCAGGCTTACAGTTGAAGAAAAACAACAATTGGTTAATTATAGGTTGACTTCTGCGGTGTATCGACATGCATTCCAAGCGGAGACGATTAATCCTATTCCAATTCTTCTGCATTGGGAAATACCAACTGAGAAGATGGTCGTCGTACCACCATTTGCATGTTACTAATTTGTTAGACTAATTTTATTAGTAGTTATGTTTACCAGTAATATTATATTTATTTGTAATTCTAATTTCCTTTCAGAATTATGTTATGTTTATTAGTAATTCTAAGTTTCTATGACTTTTATGTTAAGTGTATTTGACTACTACTTTACGTTTTTATCAGTAATGTTATGTTTTTTTTCTGACACACGATTGTAGTTTGACTACTGTGTTATAGCTTTTGACTACTGTCTAGTCGCATTTGACTAATACTTTACATGTTGTCTTATCCAATAGTGATTTTTGTTCTCAAACTATTAATATGCAACTAACATAGAACTTATACGTGATACACTACAACATTCTAAAATTGAAAATGAATTCATCTGACTTTGGTGTTTGGCATTGCGAAGACGAAGACTGCTATGTTTGTTCCGATACAAACCCAATTCCTGAAGGCCCAGATTTCCCACTCCCAGATTACATGCATGACGACATTTTCCATGCTATTAAGGCCGCTGAAGAAGCCAACGAAAGGGACTCTGAAATTAGTCGCAAACTCAACCAACGTGCAAACGACCTAGCTTTCGTTATGTGACCCACTCCTAGATGCAAATTCATCAGTCATTATGCCCTTTTGTATAGATTTTTTCCACCCCCCAGATCCGCTCCCCGATCCCCTACCCGTACAATCGTTCCTCGTGTGTCCAAATTAACCGCATGTAGAACATTCTTGTCGTATGGGACGCTCACCTTGCGACGGAATACGTCCAGTGTTTCTTGGCCTACCCGGCTGACGTCTCTCCATTATGGGTGGCTTCACGGTCATCAGATCATCGGGGATCTCCCACTCATATGGACTTGGTAAGGGGTTCACAGACTCCTCGTAAGTTTTCCTCAATGTTTCTGTAAAGTAAGCTTTTAAAGAGAATTCCGAACAATCTTCGTAACGGTTCATTTTCAGCACTTTTATAACATGGCCACAAGGTAAGCCATCTATTTGCCACCGCCTACATGTACAGGTTCTTTGTTGGAAATCAACAATGACACTTTTGTGGTTAGAGCTTTTCACTTCAAATCTGCTATTTGAGATAGGGTACACCATCCAATTATTACAAGCATTCTTATTTGCTTGTATAATCGTTTCAGCCCATGGGGTGAGTGTTGTTTTAGTTTCAGCTAAAAAAATAGACATAATTTTTCATAAAATTATTACTACACGAGTTAAAATACTCAATCAATAATGTATATAAAATATTAGTACCTGCAACATTACGTTTCTGAAAACTCCATTGTTGCATTGTTGCACGAAAATACTCAATCAACATCAATATTGGCATCTTTCTTGCAAATCGTGACATTAAATTTATCGACTCCGCACTATTTGATGTCATAAGAAAATACCGATTCCCAGGAAAATGTGCCCTGACCCATCTTTCTGGATTGATGTTTTGTAGGTATTCCCATACATGAATATTTACATTTTTTATTTTTTTCATCCCATTATCGAATTTTTTAATGGTATAGGCTTTGCATGTCTCCCAAAATAATGCGTGCATTGTATCGCTGCTTCCAAATTTTGCTGAAATGTTGAAATACAAATGGATACCACATATTCCATGATACGCGTGAGGAAATATATTTGCAATTGACGTCGCTATGGATGGAGCCCTATCAGATATGATTGTAAGGTCTTCCAAGTTGCCTATACATAGCTTTCGAAGGAACCAGGACCACGTCTCCGTACATTCACTTTTGCAAATGGCATAAGCAACATACATGATTTAGTTTTGACCGTCCATTGTCACTGCGAGCAACATCGTGCCTTTGAATTCACCCTTTAGGTGACCACCATCAATTATTAGGTTCGGCCTACAATTCGCTCGTACCTACATTTATTTTTCTTTGCATTAACAAATACCAATTAGGATTCATATGTTATATTTGTTATAAAAATTAACACTGCTTACCGAGCAACCCAACGCGATAAACACGAACTCAAACTGATCATCATCGTCTACTCTTATCTGAGTAACAATTCCTGGATTGTGCTTGACCAAGTTGTGCAGATACGTTGGTAGTTTGGTGAATGAATCCTCTTTGGTACCTCTTAACATCAACAACGCATACTGTTTTGCACGCCATGCCTGTTGGTATGAGATATTGATTGGAAATTTCGAATTGATGTCCCTAACAATTTCATTACCCCGATAAACTCTATTATAGTCTCCGGCCAATACTTCAGCGATAAAGTGGTCGAGTACCTTTTTCTTTGATTGTCGATGATTAGACTCCAAATTTGTTGCACAACATGTGTGTTGGTCAACAACTTTTGTGACTTGTAAAGCAGTAGTCGATTGGATTTCCCTTGCCCTAACCATCCATGAACAATTTTTAACCAAACAAACAACTTCGAACCTTCCTTTGCTCGATCTGGTAGTCTTATACTGTTTACCTTGTTCCATGTATTGTCTTCCGATTGCAAGCTTGAGCAACTCTTTGTCATAAAAAATGTCTAAAACCTTAATCTCTTCACTTATATCCACCCTCTGACATGGAATGTTCACATCAACGTTTACAGGACACGAAGGCAAAGGGGGCATACCATGAAACATGGTTTCTGAATAAATAAGCTTAGATTCGTCATCTAATTCTTCTCCGTTAGAATCACTATCTAGGCCGGATATATCCAACTTGTCACAATCCGCAAACTCGCCATATCCTTTTAGTTCACCATCATGCAAAAACGGAACTTCCTGTTTTCCAGATTCATTACCAACCTTATTCACCACAGCTACTGCTTTTTTTTGTCAAATGAATCATTTACACCAACATTATTAACATATGCACCAACATCATTATCACCGATATACTTATAATTCTCCGGTGTAACATACATAATCGGTTCTGGCACTACATTTACATTTTCAGCAACACTATGATATTGACTTTTACTTGGACTTTTAAAATTACCTATTGGGTTGTTGCTCCCTTTTCCACTTGATAAATTTGTTGCAAATGCCTTTCCTCTATCATCCATTTCGTTCGGCCAAACGCCTTCTTCAACCACCACATACACAGACACATATTTATCTCCAACGCCATTTATTACCTTCATCAGCTTTCTAATATCACGATCATCAACAATACCACAATAATAGAGTTGTTCTGGATGTTGATAGGCCAAACTAACTTTTGATTCTTCGGGAAGACCCATCTTTCACTTGACCAACCGAACAAATTCGGTGAACGTTGTGTTTTCGTAAAATTCAACACCTAAATAAAACATTCTCGGATTGTATCCCAATGGCCAAACATATGATAATTGGGAATTAACAAACTCCCATCTTCCATCCGTAATGAGCAATACAAAATACTTGTTACAACTCATTATCTTAATTTTGAGGATAAAGAAGCTAGAGAGAATAAACTTTCCAAAAATATAAAATACTTAATATATATATAAGATAGGTTGAAAACAGTAGTCAACTCTGACGAAAAAGTAGTCAAGTTTAACAAAAAAGTAGTCAAATTTAGCAACAAAGTAGTCAACTTTACCCAAAAAGTAGTCTACTTTTTCGTCAGAGTTGACTACTGTTAAAATTTAAACAAAATAATTCAAACCAAATAATTGTTAAAATTTAAACAAAATAATTGTTAAAGTTATTGTACATATTATAAACACTCTTTTTTATACTCTATATATATATATATATATATATATATATATATATATATATATATATATATATATATATAATAATAAAAATAAATTAAAACCGTAGTTTTTTTGGACAAAATAGTAGATAAAACCCCCCAAAATAGTAGATAAAACCCCCAAAACAAATAAAAATAATAAAAACCGTAGCTTTTTTTTGCGAAAACCGTAGACTACGGTTTGGGAAACCGTAGGTTTTAAAAAACCTACGGTTTTGAATGTCAAAAATGAAAAAAAAAATTATACAAAACGCGAAACAGTAGACCAAATGGCGAAACAGTAGGCGAATCTCGAAACCTACGGTTTCGTGGGCCATTTTTGGCCATTTGCTAATTTTTGGCTAAAAATTGATAATTACCCCTTAATTTGGCTAGATTAGTAATTAGGCCTGTATAATATCACATACATAATTAATCTGTGAATACCATGATTATGGAAAAGGGATAATGACTTAAAAGGGTAATATATTTTTCGATTTGTACACATTTTGTCATTGAGTTTTTTTTTTCGTCCACATTTACCCCTTCAACTTGTTAAACTGTACACATTCAGTCCTTGTGACCGGTTACTCTAGGTTAGCCGAAAAACATGACTTAATAAGGTAATATATTTTTCATTTTGTACACATTTGGTCCTTAATATTTTTGTACACATTTAGTCCTTAATATTTTTTGTTTCAAAATAAGTCATTTTTGTTTTTGTACTCATTCAGTACTTATGAATGATTTCATTAGGTTTTTCTCATGACATCTTACGTGTTACAATCATTGATGATGTGTTTGGGGTTGTTGATGCTTATGTCCATCGCGATCTCGACTACTTGGTTGCATATGTCTTATGGTTTGGCTTAGGTCTTGTGTTCTGAACGACCTATTTTTTCATATGATATCATATTTTAACGATCTTTTTATATCCATGTGTTCGTTTTTTGAGTCTACTATAACTTTCGTTAAGATTGCTCCCGTTAAAATGTAATATATTTTTATTTATGATTTTATAAAAAAAAACATTCATACATGTATTCATAAAAAATGTATAGATATAAAGATCGTAAGTAAAAATATATTATTTTTAACGGGAAACGAAAGTTGTAGTAGACTAAAATACGAACGTATGGATATAAAGATCATTAAAACCTGAGATCGTATGAAGAAGTTATGACGTTCATAACACATGACCTAAGCAACCAAGTAGTCGAGATCGCGATGGACATAAGCATCAAAAGCCCCAAAACATCTCATTAATGATTGCCCCACGTAAGATGTCGTGAAAAAAACCTAAAGAAATCATTCATAAATACTGAGTACAAAAACAAAAATGACTTATTTTACAACAAAAAAAAATATTAAGGATTAAATGTGTACAAAAATATTAAGGACTAAATCTGTACAAAATGAGAAATATATTACCCTATTAATTCATTTTTACCGGCTAACCTGGAGTAGCTGGTCATAAGGACTGAATGTGTACAGTTTAACAAGTTTAAGGGGTAAATGTGGACGAAAAAAAAAACTCAGTGACCAAATGTGTACAAATCGAAAAATATATTACATTTTTAAGTCATTATCCCGAAAAACTATACTTTGGTATAAAAAGTTGTCACACAACTTTCTATTTCATTACTATGGCATGTTCTATTTGCTTTAAAATAATTTAATTTATTCTCTTTAAATAAATTAATTATTTTGTTTCTAGATGATAATTAAATGGCAAATTACAAAAGAAATAGTTACTATTAGTTTTATTAGTTTTGTGGTTCAATCATTTATATATATATATATATATATATTCTATTTAAATAATAGAAGCTTCATAAATTTTATAGATTAAAAGTTTTGATAAATACTCAAGTTGAAAGGAATTCCAAAATATTTTTAGTTCAATTGAAATATATATATATATCTATATATATATATATATATATATATATATATATATATATATATAATATATATATATATATATAAATATTTGAACCGCAAAACTCCTCCTCGTATGTTTTGTTTTTATCTGCAGTTTGACGTTAAATCGTTAATTAAAACCCTATCTCAAACTGTTAATAATCTTTATAGAATGTCGGCAACTTTTTGGTAAAAAATATTTTGTTTTTAGTAAAAGAAATTTTAATATTACTATTAATAATAGAATATTAAAATTGAACTATTTACATGATTAAATGTTTTTATTTTTGCATTGAAAAATAATTGAATACAATATTTACAAAAGTAATTCAATATTATTATCTTTAGAGTAAATTACATAAATCGTCCATCTAATTTGATTTAATGTTTAAGTTTTGATTTTACAAAAATATTTCGTTTGGATAGTGCCTTTGTATTTTTTATTGCTATTTAGTCTTTAATCCATATAAAATTATATATATATATATATATCTTTATTGATTTTTCAATTATATATTTACACCTACTCTTCTTTGTCACCCCCCTTACTTTCTCATAGAGGGTGAACATTTGGACCTACCAATTTGAAGGGAAAATATGGAGTGTACACCATACCTTTGGAGGCATATTAGTGTCAGTATCGGTTGCGGTTCTTACACTTGTCGGACCGATACATCATTAGTTGTGTATGGTACAAGTTGTTGAGACAGTAAGTGAAAATTTGAAAACCTTTCAACTTTGATCTCCCGACTCGGTGAGGTGCGAAGCATAGAAAATGTTTTTTTGAGTATTTGTGGTCTTTTAGTAAATATTTTTTTGATAAACTCAAACCCTTCATGAGCACACCACCAAAACATTATCTGCTACTGCTCCATTGTATTTTCGACGATAACATACCCACTAACAGAAGTGTTATGAAACAAAACCTAAACACATGGATCTAGGAACAATTTCCTTTTGAGTGAATTGAAAACTCATGATAATTTAATCATTCGTTTTCAATTGGGATTTCAAAAACAGTTTAACATTTGTTTGTTTTTTTGATTTGTTTTCAATTGGAACTTCGAATTCCCTTTGATTTTTGGTAATTATTGTATTTTGGGATCTAATATGTGTAGATTGACTCTAAAAAGATGTTGGGCGATAGTATAAAGAAAAAGATGAACAAACAAAAATTAAAGAAATCGAGTGTGTTTATATTGACGAAACATAATTTTTTTTATTTTCAATCTGGTGAGTATAATGGTTTATCACTTATCATATCAGTTTGAAATATATTTAAAATTATATCAACCAAATTGCCTTTGATCCAATGTTATATCTAGAACAAGTAAGTTGTGAGTCTAAGCATTATTATCAGTTAACATTTTATCTTTTTTCGTTTTCGAATCATGTTCTTCACATACATCTTTGTGGCTTTTTGATTCCATATCTGATTGTTGATTTAATTTTGTATGTAGATGTGAAATAAGATGTTGTAGGTTCGTATATGTGATTTCTTTAAATTCTTTGGTTGTTGTGGGTTCTTAAAGTTCTTTAGAGGTGGATTTTGATTTAAATGACTATGTATGATTCAATTGTTTTGGTTTTTTACTTTTTTAACGATTATCTTGTTTTGGTTTTTAATAGACAAAACTGCAAATTTGGTCTCTGTGGTATTCAAAAAACTTTTGATAGGGTCCAAAAAGTTTTCGACTTGCATGGAAGGTTCAAAATCAATGTTTTTTCTAGGTTTTTGGTCCAAAAAAACTTAAAAAGACGGTTATGCCCTTATTATTATTATTTTTTTATAAGTATTTTAATGTTATTTTGATTTAAAAACAAAAGAAAAAAATGAATTTCCCAC